GAGAGCCCCATCCTGCAAACATTTCTGTTCTTCTCAGCATACTTTTGGTATTTAAGTATTTGCCGGATCAGGCCCGTACTTCATAATGAATGTCAGGCAAGTTTCAATGTATTTCAGCTAAATGTTAGCAGCAGGCCCTACCCCCAGCGAGCAACTTTAGAAATAATACTTTAGCTTGTCTTTTAAGCCCACCCTGTCTCCATGCTTGATGGAATGAAGAATAATATTGGGGGGTGGGGGAGAAAAAAATTTTCTTCAACACAAAATGTTCTGAAAGCCTCATTGAACCTTGTACTGCTTCAAAGCTATCAAGAGCTTTGCTTAGGCCTTGATTTAATATGAATCAATGCATAATGCAACGAAGCTGTTCATAGTACATTAATTTTACTCCCATTTCAAGCAGCCAGTTTTCAGACAAACACTGTAATCATTCTGAGTTATATAAGTTTATAATGGCTGCTGGAGGCCTGTTGCAATCAGTGCCAATTGCTATTAGGTATGTAAATTGTAATGTAAAACATACAGGTTTGACATTCTTCATCAAAATAACACATGGTTTTAATCTAGGAGATAAATTAGAGTAAATAATATTTCAATCCGTGGCGTTTTCCCTTTAAGGAAATAAAGTATCATTCAATCTATAGATAAGGAGGAGAAATACCCCCATTTACAGTTTTTGTTGGAAACTGTGAAAGATCTACATTGTGCTGCAATATTTATGCAAAACTCAGTTTCAACTGTATCTTCCCCACATACAATTAATTTACAGATTGTGGCAATACAAACTGTACATGCCAAAGCAATTCGCAAGACTGCATTCTGTATTAAGCAGATACAGTCTGGTTTTATTCTCCAAAGTCAGTAATTTATTAACTATAAACACATTTTGGGGCTTAAAAATACAATCCCTCTTGTGCCTTTCTTGACCACTTTTAAATGTCTTCCTTTAATATTTGTCCTTTCATAAAGAACATCTGGGCACAATAAAGATACGTCATATTATTAACTCAGAAGAAAGGCATTACAGATGCTGCAGATTTACAAAACAGAAAACTAGAGAGTTTTCAACATGCCTATTTCTAGTCATAATCAGCGGATTTAAACCTATAAATATCCGGCAGCAACTACCCCAGAAGGAAGAGATGCAAATCTAGGCATAAGACAGTGAAATGCCTGGAAAATGTGTAGAGACAAACATGGTCCCTCCCCATCCATAAGGCTTTAAAATAGTCTTTGTGTGCAATTGCTTTCTCCAGAGAAGCCAAATCATTCTAAAATGTCAACAAGAAAGTGAGAAAAAGGATACTTACTCTGCTTAAAACCTAAATAGGGTATTCGTTCAATTGGTGTTTTCCTTTCTTTCATATATTTATAAAGAGCCACAAGGAAAGCCTGCTCATCAGCTCTGCATTCTTCACCTATGGCAATCTTTGATTTATCCTCACTTGAGCCTTTCTTACAGTTGCTGTTGTTACTCTTGGGTTTGGGCAAAGCTGACTTAGCCTCACATTTTACCTGGGAAGAGAAAAGATGTCATATCAGATCTGGGTAACCTTTAATTTTCACTTAAGGAATAAATACCCTCTCCTAGCAGAATGGATTGTTGAAAAAAATGAAGGCCAAACCATGCAACTGTGTTTGAGGGGAAACAAAGGAAGCTATTTATAGACCTAAATGTCTTGTTCTGAATCTTAGTCACAACATTTTTAAACAGCCACATCTTTAAATCATTATAACTCACTAGTAATGCTCTCCAGATCTGCATTTTTATGACTATACATTGCTATGTCACAGCTTCTATCTCTCACATACACTTGCCATTAGCAGGTCTAATAATAACCCTTGTTCCAGGATTGACACTGAGCATTGTCAACTCCCGTAGACAACCCTTGGAGCTGAGGGTGCTCAGTCCCTTCCAGGAATGCTCAGCAGCCAGCTCTGAAATGACACATTTTTCTCTCCTTTGGCCCACCAAAATAGATGCAAATTTTGGCAAGCTTTATCTAGGCAGAGCTCTCAGCACACGAGTGGAGGTCCTGCTGTAGCACGGACTCAAGTCAAGTGTATTAGAGCATGTGCTTAAATCTGAGCACAGCCCTAAGCATGTAGCAGAGGGGAGAGGCTGGTAGCTGGAGACCTTCCTGGTAGACACTGGCATCCCCAATGCACATTAAGTCCCAGAGCTCCAGGTCTCCCACTGGACTGCCCAGCAGATGTGGGCCAGTCAGGAAATCAATAAATTGGAACCACTTTACCTCTCCTCAGTATTCATACATGAGGAAAAATACCCAGTGAAACTGGCTTAATCCTGCAGCCCCTCTTGAAGATAATCCTGCCACTGAATCAAGCAAATTACAAATCGAGTGTTCACGACATTGGGACCATGGGATGAATAAATTTCCAATGAAATACTGGAAGTTCTCTAATAGAAGGCAGTGAAGATGGTTACACGTATTTTGGATTTGCACTGTCCCTTCAATGCTTCTGAGTGCTGTCAGGAGCCTTCTAGTAGTTCCATACCCCATCCAAGACATATCCTTTGTGCTCCCAGAGGAAGCAGGGACACCCTAAGAGCCAGTACTTGGTATTTTAGGAGGATACCAGAGGAGAGCAGGGTATTCTGCTGTGCAGGAAGGCAGGAGCTCTTTGTCAAGCAACCTATGGACCATCCTTCAGAACTGTCACTTCTAAATCAGGTGCTTTCTGGATTCTTGACAATTTGGAATCAACTGCTATGAAGAGCATTACGTAAGTGCTTGTAAACAAATAACAAACATATTACTGGAAAGAACACAACCACAATATGTTTTTTTAATCTTAATAAATGATACTCTGGCATATCAGGCTCAGGAAAAACAAAATCTTTGTACTGCTCTGGGTATTAACTTTGCAGAGTACCGAGTTCAGGTGATCTGCTCCACAGTTTTCCACAGATGCTGGACAAAGCAATGGTAGCTCCTAAGCAGAGTGAACAAGTGGTCACGATTTTCCACGGCAACTGATGCTGCTGAAAAACCTCCAATACTGGCCACTGGAGAGTACAGGCTCCCTCCTCCCAGGCAATGCAGCAGGGACCGGGGAGTGGACTTTCTGCAAGATTTTTCTTCTGCAAGATCACTTGCTGCTGAAGTATGTCCAGAGTACTGCTTGATATTTTCCAATTGCACAGTTCAAAGAGATGTTGTCTTCCTGTAGCACAGGACACCATCCGTTGCATTTCAGTAATTGATATGCCTCTTGATTAACCTTTCGTAAAGATCACGGGTTTCATCCGAAACTCAGAGGAGCTAACAGGTTTTTTTTTTCTTCTGTTAAATGAACTTTGAACATCCTCATCCACTTTTCAGGTCAGAGCTGTAATTCCTTGACTTTTTTACTTTGGCACCTCGCAAAAATTATTCAGCAGCTTCCAAAGTTTTTAGATTACATTGTCATAGGTTTCAATGCTTCACCAAAGACTGGGTTAACACTCCCAAAAGGAATGCATGACTTCAATAATTCTAGGACTTTTAATTGGAACTGCAAATTTGGAACAAATTCACTGGACCTGGGAACAACTTTTCAGCTTTGTCACCCACTTCCTTGGATTCTCTTTTTCAAACTGGACAATTCAGAACTATGTTTACAAAGACAACCTGGGCATGAACTCTGTGTGAAATCAAAGCTCACAGCTGTGCAAGCAAACTAATGGCAAGGGATACTACACTAAAGGAGACAAAGGCAAAGTAATGTTAGGAAAGCCACCAGGAGTGGGAAAAACCTGTGCTACACACAATCTTTCTCTCTTTGTCTATACAGAAGCAGGGTCAAAGCCCCTGTGGGACTCAGAGGTATCAAAATGCGATGGGCAGACTTCAAGCAGTATCAGGTTCAACAAAGCTTTGGTGAAGGCTACAGCATTTCATCTGCTCAGCATTTGAGGCCCAAGCCTCACTTCTGGAACCTTCCCACCTTCTGACAGGAAATATGGACGAATGCCGTAACCAATGATTAATGAGAACAAAAAGAGCCAAATGCCATTCTGGGTAACACCAGTGTAAATCCAGCATAAACATATAAAAATCAGTGAGAATGCTGCCAGATTTGCTCCAAGCACCACAAACTGCCCTTCTCTTTCAAAACACAAACCCAGTGCCACAGCTGGGTTAAGCTGGATAAAATGGGGGTGCACTGTGATGGGGTCTGGAACATGTGACCATCTCCTGCTGTTCCATCAGAGGTGGATGATCCATGGCCAGTGAACACTGATGGGTACAACTGTGTTTGTCTTATCCTGCCAGAGGTAACACACAACACAGAGCACAACAGATCTGCATTTTACAGTTTCCATCAGATAATGGTTGAGGCACTCGGAATAAATCTCCAGAACTGAAAGCATGCCAGGCCACCTGTGGCCACAGGAAAAGCATATCCTGGCAACTTTTAAACTAATTTCCCAGATCCTGCTGTACAAATGAAGTGAGAAGTCTACTGAAGCAATTGCACTAGCAGATGTAATTAATAGATTCATTTGGGGACAATTTCCATGTTTAACAAGTTAATCCTTTCAGTTCCTCAAAATTATCAGATCAGCCAGTTTTAAAAAGCATTAGAACACACTGTGAATTTGGAACACTTTCTGAGAAGATGAAGCAGGTACGATGAGGGTCATCTGCTGGAGCCTTCAAGTTCCAAAAGCCTGTCCAATACTGATGACAGATCAAGTATGAAAGCCTCTAGAGTCCTAGGAGCGTTTTGAGGGAAGATCTTGATATATCCCTCTCCAGGAGAGCTGATCCTGCTGGAGTAGATGGCCTTGTATTCCTTTCCCAGACGTAGAGGGAACTCCCCTGGCATCTTCCCCAGGAGGCAGTAAAATTGATGCAGTGACCACCAAAGAGATGAAGAGAGCAAAAACAAGAAGAGGCACACAAAAGACCCACTCTCCCTGGCAGCACCTGCAGGTCCAGAGCCACAAAGCCTGTGATGCCATCCCTCTATTTCTAACAAGTCACCTATACTAGAATAGACCCAGAAATGCTCCTACCCAACCAGACACTTTTCCTTGTCAGGTTAACTGTGAAACCCTCAAAACGATCTGCTGATAGCTCAAGACAAACATGCCTGATGAGAGCTATTGAGAACATGAAATTCAGCAAGTCATGACAACTATGCAGCTTGCATTGGTCTCAACAGGCTCAAAACCACAGCCTTTGGAACGCACCTTCTGCCGTTTCCCAACCCAAACCATACAGCCACTGCAACTCCACCAGAGCGGTCATCCCACCACTGAGAAATGAGGCAGCTGCCAGACAATGAGTGACATGATCTGAGAATGCAAGCAGCACAACTTCTGGTCAGAAGGGATTTCATCTGCAACAAGAATATGGCCAGGACTGCTGAATGCTTCAGCATCTGAATCAAGTGGATTAATCCCATTTACATGAGCAGTGTTCAACCCTGCTCTCCATGGACCCCTTGTCAGCATTAGTCAGACATGGAGCACTCACAGAGGAGGATAACCAACAGTGAACTCCAACATGGAGCTTCAGATGACCACATCCCAACAGTTCCCAGCAAAGAGAGGATGGTAAGTGGATCTCTATTTCTCCCCTTCCCCAAATACCCTTCTCTCTCCCCAGTAACACACAGGCACGGTCTGCACAAATTGCAGTACATCTGCTATGGAGGGTTTGATTCCCTATCCTCCTCTTAGGGAAGTGCATCTACAGCCCTGAGACACAAATTGATGTGAAGAGCCACAGTGAAGTCAGTGTGACTACATGCAAGGACATTATATCATGAGCATGTCTATTATTTATAATGAAATTAAGCTGGCCAAGATAATTAATGCTATTAATATCTGCACAATGATGAGCACAGTATGACTAGATAAATAGGTGGAATTACTTCTTATCGGAAATATCCTCCCATCTGACTATGTAGTATGAACCCTAAGATAAACAGAGAGGATAAACAATTTGGTATGAAGTGTTACTGTTGTTTTTAATTATCTCATACCTATATATCAGGTGCTGAAGAAGCAGAACTACTTGTGCTGCAGTCTGGGGTGCTTTGACAATATGGTCCATGCCACAGTGCATGGGCAATATTTTGACATAAAAAATGGCTTGGGGGAAGGGGGAATTGAGGCAAATTGAGACATTTTCACACAACGGATTTTGTACATTCTTTCACAGAGAAAACATTCAGGCAAACTCTATAGTATCTGGCAGGACCCCGCAACTCAACACACCAGGCTCCATCACCTCTTACCATGCCTGTCTAACACAATAGTACAGACTCCAACTGAGCACAATAGGGCACAAAAAGAAGAGAAACAATGACTTAAGGGCAGAGTTTCATCATGAACTTCAGCCTCTTTTATCGTCATCAACAGAAGGCACAATTTTAACTGAACTCCTAGGGAGGAGGAGGAGGAGGTGGAATGTAATTTGCCTTCCTATGAGAAACTGAGAGCAGAACACTCCTACTTGACCTCTTTAACCTCCTAATCTCCCGGGACATTCACTGTGTACAACAATACCAACGCAAATGGATCTATAGATTCACTGTATTTCCTAAAGAGATGGTCACAACAATGGAAGTGTTTTTCAGATACACATCCATCTAATTTATTGACACAATAGATTTGGGAGGAGCTGGTGTAAAAATTCAGTATATGCAAATCTCTTTAGTTGTTTAGCTTAAAAGTATAAGCGACAAAGTTCTGTCTCAGATAAAAATCAAGTATTGCTTTAAGTAATTTTCCATCCTTGCACCTTAGAGTTTCTAATTAAATCATCTTGAAAGGAGCCATTTGTGCTGCTCTTTTTTTTTAAGAGAAAACTAAATTCCTGTCTAAAACCACTCACACAACATAGAAAATAGGATGCAATTTATACTACAGAAACTCCATTTTAAAATATTTTAAGGAAAAGACACAAACCCACAAATATCTTAGAGATTAAGTCTATAAACACTAATCAGTGATCCAATTTTTACTTGCAGCATGGGCTAAGCACTGCAGCACATACAGAAGACTCTGTAAAAACATGCACTATTCAGCAAACCGTGGAACATGCAGCTCAGCAGTAAGTATTAAAGAAACAGCCCAGTTTTTTTTTTAAGCTTTCAAACTGAGTTTATGCCTTTATATTTTATTTTTTTTTTCCAATTTAAAAATGTCGAGATCTTAACATCAGGGTAATGTCATTTGTGTTTGCTTCTTAGAAACCATTACTGAGGCAGCTCTTGTTTCGTAGTCTGTTTATCTTCAAACTTATATTTAGAAGTACATTGTAACAGGGTGAGCTGCTCCCAGGTTTATTTTTAATTCGTAGATACTGTCACACACTATGTTTGTGTGTCACAGAATGTGAAAACTAACACTAGATGCCAAGAGAGCTTAAGCACTACCAGTTACCAACAAGCTGATAGCATTAGGTTGTTAGGTGATTATAATTGCTGGTAACTTTGAACACAGGCATGATTTAAAGTGAAAAATAAAACTATTGAAAAAAATTACGTTTACCTTCCCAAGAAAATAAGTTACACTCTAAATGTGAAACCACATGCTGGGAAACAAAGGCAGGGTTGTATCTAAAAAAGAAGAGAGTGCCGAAAAGAGTAGTATTAAGTGATTTACCTTGGCAACAGCTTTGCTTTCAGAATTATTGTTGGAATCCTTAATGCCATTTAATGAATCTCTTCTCTGTGGGCATGGCTTCTTTTTGCGTGGTCTGCCTTTAAGATTTGGCGCTGAAAATTAATGGAGAACACTTTGAGCACATTGTCTTATACTGGATTCTTAACAGCCAAAAGCATAATAAATAATTCCACTACAATCACTCACAGAAATGTACACATCTGTCTACAGTAAACGCTTATTACGAGATTCCCGTCCTCTAGGGGTTATGTCTTGACACACTATACGTTTCTATAGAATATCCCCCAAGGCTACTCTATTCTACTTTCACATAACTAATTAATATAAAGTCAAACACTGGTCTCCCAAGGACTCAGAGAGAAAGCACAAATATTTCTCCCTGGTACAAAAAAGAACAAAATTTAATATTAATAGGCAACTTTGCATTAATCATCCTGCTGCCTTTATTTCTAATCTTGAAGCAAGAGAACTAACTGCCATTTCCAACTTTGGGAAACATCTGGCATTATAAATGCTCTGAAATATTGAAATTCCTTACAGCTCCAAGAAATGTTTATATATCCTGTCAGTCTTGTCAAAGTTTTTCTAAAAAAGTTTAAGAAAAAAATAAAAAAATTACCCCTGAGTCCTGAAAAGGATCAAAAAACCCCCTTAACAACTAGTTCTGGAAGTTGACAAGTACTGAAATAAGTGATTGATTGTTTCATAAGGGTTACATACCACACATACAAATTAACGTGAATCACTTTCAGTTTTGTCCAATTTTTAAGATAAAACAGCTCTGAAATAACACGGTGACTAAATCCTTGCTGTGCTGAGCCATACGAGGAATGCGATATGGATCATCATAGAAAATATCACACTCATCTTTCAATAGTGCTATTACAATGTAAATTATGATCATATATAGAAATAATAGATGAAGCAGATGTGTGCTCATTATTACATGTCCCCTCTGCTTTCAGATTTAAAAATCAGCCTCCGATCACTATGGCAACATTTAAAATGATAAACAATCATTAACTAATGACTGTACCGAATAAGATAGTTTCCTTTAAACCTTTAATTTTTAGGTAACCATTGTTTTCATTACTTAAAGGGATGATTAGAACAATGTCAGCAATCTAAACATCACAAACCTCTTGAGTGTCTTCTAATTGTTTCTAATCTTACATTTGTTACACAGTAAGCCAGTGGTTTCAGGACATTTTACATTTTAATTAGTTTGCCAACACAATAAAGGGTGCTAATTTGATTTTATAGTTTGAGTAGCACTGTCATATTTGGTCTGTTCAGAGAAAAAGAAAAGCTTTGGGTTTAAAATAAAAAGTCAGATCCTTTTCCCCCCAACACTGGTGTAAGGTAAAAAAAAAAAAAAAAAATCTCTATGTGTATGAGTATATATGCATGTGCATATGGGAGTAAGTCCATATTTGTGTCTATCTAAAAATACATTTATCTCCCTACAGAAATATCTCCATCTATCTCCAGTGAAGCACATTCTGCTTATTGAAAAGTACTGCAGAAAGCAATTCTGAAATTGTCATCTGAGGCTAACATGCAAAATCAAACAAAGAGAGAAAGAAATTATTACCCATTCCAGTCGACAAACATCTGCCTGATTTATATCTGTACTCATGAATGCTACAGCATGTGACTGCACACCACGTCGCTGGGAGTCTCAACGTGGTGTGGATGTCAGCCTTACACAAAATGAACACTCGGAGCGTTCGCTGCGCGCTGCCCATCCCCTCCCCCGCCGCCCCATCACTCATCCAAACAGGGATGAGCGGCCGGCGGGAGCGTGGGACGCGCTCCGAGCGCTCCAGCGCTGCTGCCAGCCCTGGCCACGCCGCCCTGCCTTATTTATAAACCCCGCTCAACCTTTCATGTCTTCATGATGCCTACGGGGATTTTTTGGCACACGACCTGCATGGGATGGACAGATCTTTAGCCACGGTCTGCCTCAGCGGTTGTTGAGTTCTTTAAAAAGGTACTGAAGGAGACAGAAATGTTCCCTCAATTTACTACACTTTGGCATACGTATTAAAAGATTAACCTTTGAATGAAAGGATCCGCAGGCCTGGCCCAACAAATGGCCAAAGAGGGATGTGGCTGAGCTACCATCAAATATACTTGCAGGTGAGTTATTAGTCCTTCCTTTCACTCCTTCATTCCATTCTTACTTTTTAACAAATAAAGAAATTAGTTCAAGGCTCAATGCTTTTCAAACACACTTGTTATCCTGAGTTTTGGCACTGTGCTTTGCATCACACTATAAAGCACTGCTAATGTTTTGCTAAAAGCTTTAAAAGCAAGAAGGCATTTGTTCCAAAATTCCAGGTATATAAAAAGCTTGCATATAAACACTGTTTGAATTGGAGCTTTCCATGGCAGAACTGGCACAAACCCACTATGAAATGGGGTATTTGCATCCTCCCTGTGGCTCAGGAGCTGCAGCAGGGAAGGGCTGTCTGCAGCACACACAAGGACCATCCCACATGCCCCATGGTATGATTTTAAATCACCTAAAGCCACTCCAGAGCTGACACACAATTAACAAGAAAGCAGCAATAGGAATTATTATCAGAAGAGAAGGTCTTGGCATCTAATATCTACTCTGTAAAAGAAACGTTTGATGTAGTCCCAAGTCACACTTGAAACAAAGCCATTAATATTTGCTCCCTAAACCATTAAAAATAAATACATTATTTGAAGATCATTGCGTTTGAGTGACATTTGTTTTGTTCATGTGAGCAAGGAAATATGACTAGGACCAAATAAAGAATTTACAAGTCACATTCATGTTTCGATTTTGTCATCTTTTGTTTAATTTTTGACATATTCATGAGCACACTGCAAATGTCTTGAATTTGTTATTCATAATTATTTTAAAGCAATTTTACATATTTTGTGGCTTAGTCACATTCAGTTTTCCTGATGATGTTGGATGTTCAGAATGTACTGGACAGCTAAGTGAGTATCCTATGGGTTTTCTGCTGTTGTCTAGTGGAGAAGCACTTCTGGCATGACTACCTAAAAATATCCAAAATTATTCACTTTCTTCATGTGTTTGTGCACATGGCTTTCAAATTCATTTTCTGAAAGAATTTGTGGCAGTGAGGCCTGACAATCTGTACACACACAGAAGGTGAGAGCATAAGCAAAGAAAATTGAAGTAAAAAGTGAATAAATAAGTACAGAAAAAAGTTTGCATTATTTGCCACCTCTTTGGTGTGAGTGCTTATAACAGGAGTATGAGAGAGACAACACAGTATCAGTAAAAAAACTTTATTTCCTGTGTAATTGACAACGTGATTGCCTTTTGCCAATGTGTGATGTTTTCCCACTCCTTTTACCTGCTGAGTCCTGGCAAACCTTTCAGGTATGCCCAGGTAAAACACAGCCAGCAGCAAAATGCACACAAGTACAACTGAACACTCCCTGAGCCCGGAGAAGTCCCCAAACTGGGGCTGTGCTCTGTACTGCCAAAACACCAGCAATGCCCTACACGTTTTTACTGCAAACTGTCACACCTGAGAGGTTAAATGCAAAGCCTGTGCCATGCACAGCGTGAGTTTGATTATCTGTAGATGTAGACTGGCAAATCTTTGCTGTCTAAACATATCCCAATAAGAAGATGCTTCCATAGTCTGTTCTTTGTTCAGCACAAGCTGCCTACAAACTACAGTAATCAAACAAGGACAATTCAGAGGCATCAGTACAGAGAAATAAAGACTGATAAGCTCAGTTGTAGGCTCTGACCCACCAAGAGAACCACACAAGAAAGACAGGAGCTCAAGGCTAATGCTGCTCACTAGCTAGCTGTTTTCTCCAAGCCAGAAGTTCTTTCTCTTCAAGAGAAGCCAAGAAATAGCATCACTGCTAAAAAATTACATCTTCCCCTCCAGCACTCTCACCAGGCTGTGCAAACATCAGGATATTGCAGGTGATTGGGATAGGCCAGAAGGAAAGGGAGAGGCAGCTACCCTGCTCACCTACTCAGAAAATTCATAAGGTTGTGGCTACTGTTCTCCAGTCACTACCACCCTCAGTTGTTCAATTTCCACAGACACTGCCTGCTCAGCAGGACACAAGAAAAACGAGAATTTCCAAGCTTCACTGACTAGAAGAACTCCCAGCTCTGGTTTTACCCCAAGAAAGGCAAGTTCTATGCAGGGGAAAGATAAATACCCCAAAGTGGGAGCTGCCAAAGTCAACCATGACCATTAACACTACTTACAATGGAAAAACATAGGCTGCCACAACAACACAGGACATCCACCTGCCACCTTCTTTTCCTATGTGTCTAGGATGGGGAAGTGATCACAGGGCTTAGCATCTCCCTGTCATCAGGTCAGCCTCACCTGAGCTACATCCATGCCAATAATGCCATGAAAAGGTCAAGAAATAATGTTTGTTGTTTTGGGGTACCTGAATTTAGCAGGTCACTTACTGAAAAATTACCTCTTTTTTACGAGTTTGATTACCACTGGAAGTCCAGTGAGTTCAACCCTACCAATAACACTCTTCCCTACATTCATATATTTTGGCTGATGCAGAAGATTATTGTTATAAGGAGGGTGTTAAGAAAAATAGTGGCCTTCACAGAGCTGAGGTCAAGCTATGTTGGCACTTCGTCAAAATCAGTGGTGTAGCCAAGAGTTTTTAATGAGCCTGGAATGCATTACCTCATTTTTCATACCTGGATCACTTACTCATGTTGAGCCCAAAATAACCTTGGACCTTGCTGGCTGCTCAGCAAACCATGTAAGTAAACAAGTACTGTACTCATGCCTAAAACATGTATCTTTTAATTGCTTGCTCCACATTTCTTACTCTAGAGCACATCTAAGCAATTGTAATGCCCATGATCAAAGTTCTTGCCTTTCCAGGCCTCTCTGACCTGCGTAACTATTTCCTGATATGACTTTTGATTCTGGCCTGCTGATACTCCAGTTTCTCACACACACTGCAAAAGTAGGAGAAAAAAAAAGAAAAATAAATAAAAGGAACATAAGGCCATTGCCATATTTTGCTGAGGAATGGACTTACACTGCCAAGCAGATTCTTCTGGCTGCCTGCTGTTTTCTGTGACCATGTTTTGTGGAAAGATGAAGGAAGAACAACAGCATATTTGCCAACTACAAAAATCAATTAAAAAAAAAAAATCAATTGAGCTTCTAAAAATCTCCATTGCCATCAACAAAGAAGGGCCAGCAGAAGATCCGGGTCTACATTTAGGGTGGGCTCACAGAGTCAGGTGAGCTTGGAGGGTACCAGAGGGAGGTAATCACAAACCAGGATTTAGGTGGAGCAGTGGAAATTGCAAGAAGTGAATAAACAGGGATGAACAGTGGTGCTGGAATCAGAAGAGACGTGAGGCAGCGGCAGCACAGCTGCCAAATGCATCCACAGCCACTCTTCCCTGAAGGACACCTTGCACAGTTGTCCCCCCACAGAATCCTTCTGCACTGTGCCAGTCCTTCTCATGTCTTCTGGTTTTCACACACATGCACAAAAACTGTGATACCACATCCCTTGGCCCTAAGCCGCACAACCATCTGTACATACAGAACAGATTAGGAGATCTTCCCTCCAAGGCCGGTGGAAATGGCAGGATGTGTCAGATCCCAGAGCTATTCATGATTCAGGTGCCAAATAGAAGATGGAAGTGGCATATGGAGGTGCCTGGCCATCGAAGTCAAGGTGAGCAGAATGGCCCCAGATCTCCACAAAATCCATGAACTGACCATGCCTGTTAGCATGTGGCAAACAGCTGCTTGCTGAGAACATCCCTAACACAGCCTGGCAAAAGTTAGCTCTTGGCTGAAAAGCATGGCTACGCGTTGCACCTTTTAAAATGTAATGAATAGAAAGTTAACAGGTTTAATGGCTTTAACACTTACCCCTCTAGGGGGCTTCCAGCATTCTGCAATATCTGGAAGTTAAGAAAAGCATATTGCTGTATTTAAGCATGGTCTCAAAAGCTGTTCAAAGCTTAGTTAATCTTGCATATTTTGTGGAGTCCCAGCTGCTTCCTTGATTTCCCCATCACCGCCATCTCCTTATTTTATCTCCTTCCCCTCATGCCCTTTTCTGCATTTTGACTTTGGGTCTTCACATTTAATTTATTTTCCTTTCACTTCTGAAAGTTTATTTAAAAGTTTTTGCCTCAGGAAACAGGGTCCAAAAATGAGGGCTTGAGGCATTTATTGCCCAGGCACACTGAGCTGATGAAGAGAAGCAACAAGCTGTAAGTAACCTAATATTGTATTGAAAGGGTAGAAATTAAAATGCCTGGAAAAAGAAAGCAAAATATCATCCTATGCTAAAAAAACCCCAGACCTGTGTTTAGGAAACAACAGTATCAATTCAATTTGGGGAAGGTCTCAACAGGATCCTAAGTACACCTATGGAAGTCAGTGATGAGCACCCACCAACAACTGAAGCCCTCACCAAGCTCTGGAGGTCACAAAGCCTCTCTGTGCACACACACATATCCCTCATGCTTGCTCAAGCTGACATGAAACAACTTGAATATCAAAATTATTTTTACTAGGCTTTTTCTAAATGAAAACACTTGTTTATTCCTCTCTTTATAACTGAACATGCCATGCTTGACCTGGAAACTCCAGAGCACAGCAGTGAACAACCTGGCAGGAAACATTAAGGAATCATGCTGCTTTCTAACCCACATGGAGAAAGAGTGGACTTGTGTAGCCATTTCTCAAAGTTTTGTTTTGGAAATGAGATATCCCATGCTCCATGTGGGGAAAATCAATTTGCTACCTCTCTAAAGAAAACATCCCCCATTTGGAAATAAGTGAAACAGACACTTCCTTGTGTGGATTAATGTGGAGACATATGACTTGCTGCAGACTGTTGTTTTGACCCTCCTCCTAACCAGACAATCTCTGAAGAAAGCAAAATGCTAGTATTTTTCATGAATTACAGTTCAGACTAGCATTGCTTTTAACAGAAAATTTAGAGGCACTGCAAACATCAGGTTGGCGAATTTTGCCAAAAATTGAATGTTTCTTTTTTTCCATGAAAGACGGAGATAAGGTTCCAGATGAGGCTTGGAGTCTCTTTTTCTTCATTTCAGCATGGATGGATATTAAGACTTTTCCTTGATCTTGACTTCTTTATGTCCTGCTGACTAATGTGGATTAAAAAAAAAAAATGGGGAAAAGTTGATTTTTTTTTTTTTCCTGGACAAAATCTATACATGTGCTGGAAATTATGAAGTGTAGTAAACTGAAATGGAAAGCTGAAGACTTCAGAGCAAAATCTATGCTTGAAAAATACATTACATTCAAGTAGACCTTAGAGCAAATTAAAATAATAGTAACAAAAAAATTCAATGTAGGCCTGTTACTGGCTACAGATGACAGGACTATTACTAATGATTCAAAAAGAGGCAGAGGTGTTTGGTAAATATTTGTTCCATACTTGCAAAGAAGCCAGATGATATGCTTGCAAAAGAATATAATTAAAGCCAGTCAATTGACTTGGTTTTACAGAAACCCAATCTTAAAACAACAGAAAAGAAACAAACAACCTTTTTTTACACTTTGAAACTATAAGCTTGGTTAGAGAAACTAGCTGTATAAATGGAACTTACCTGCATTCAGTAAGACAGCTGATTTAATATTAGATAATACTTTGATTAAAAAACAGCACTATCTAATTTTATTCAAGCATATATTGAATGGATTAAGAAGTGGCTAAATGTAGGCATCAGTGGGGAATTTCTACCAAATGAAAAGATTTCTGGTGGGATTCCACAGGGGTTGCT